TAGAGAGTCAGGCTCTGCTCCTGGTCGGGGGATGAGTGCCACATCACATGCTACGAGATGGTTTCCAGCCCCCAGGTCTCACCGGGCACTCAGCTGTCGGAGAAGCGTCCTGCACACACATGGCTGTTGAACCCATCACTGTATTCAGGAAGATAGATTTTTATTATGCAGCAAAATGCTGCTCTAGGGTAAACTTTTACACAAAGCAATTGTGTTCTTAATGGAATCAGCTAAAACAAAAATAAAGGGGAAGAAAATAGACTTGGCTTAGGTTTCAGATCTTTCTTTTAAAAAAGCAGCTCATTTTTGAGAGAAGCACTAGGATATGCAATTTGAACAAAAGACCATATCTGAAGAACAAACTTACCTTTCCGAGGAAAGGCAGATGATGGAAATTACAACACTCGAGAAAGTTCCTAGCATATCTTTTCTTGCTGACAAGATAAGAATACAGTAATTTGTCCTTACATATTTTAATTACGTAGGAATTTTCCAACATTTAACACAATACAGGAGACATAGTTTTCAGTTATGCTTATGTGCACCTTACCAGCTTTACATGCTGAAGTTGAATGATGCTTTTTGATGTATCAGCACCAACAAACAGTTAGTACCAAAAATGTGCAAAACACAAGGCTAGAATGTGAAAAACCCAGTGAGACACCGTGATAAGTGGACGAGACGGCCCAGAATTATGCCTGGGCTTACATCTCGTCAGCATCCTGTAGTTAGAGTGGTCTGAAATGCTCATCCAGGTTCTCGAGCTCATTCTATGTGGTAGCTCTGCCTCTTTTTCACGAATTTTCTGCTGTCGTTTTCTTTCCTCGAGCTCATTGCTCTTCTGGATAGTTGGCACAGAGGACTGGCCCCTACCCACAAGACAGTTTAACTTGCAAGTCAAGTCAATGTCTCCTTGCAGGATTGAGCTTTTATGTATGTGCCAAAAATTATGTATGTGTGTGCCCCAAATACAGGGGTATAGATGGGAAAAGAGATATGGAAAGATGGAGGGGGTTACTAGGAACCGAAGGTCTGGAAGACTTCACAGGTGAGAAGAGGCTTGAGACTGACCTTGCATGTAGCAGGATTTTGTTAGGGGCTAAGGATGGGGGCGGGTTGGGACAGAGGGAAAGAGGTATGTTTAACGAAGATGGAAACCATAATTTATGTTTGGGGGTCATAAAGAAGCTCTTTCTTTATGCTGGAGTTGGGAGAAAAGAAGGTTGGATAAGAGATGCTAGAACGTTCTGAGGAAGTAGGCTAATGTGATCATAAGGTGCATCTGAATAATGCAACAGAAGTTATTTCCTGTTATTTCACAGTTCATTGCAGGGATCAGGCAGGTAGACTTCCATGCGGTAACCCAGGGAACCAGACTCCTTCAAGTTTTTGTAAAGTTCACAGTGCCATCTGCATTTAGCTGGCCATCCATCTAGTCGAGAGAAAGAGTGAGAGTGTGGAGGATTGATGTAGGCCTGTAAGCATTTTATGTGTTATTTCCATCCACGACCCATTGGCTAGCGTTCAGTCCTATGGGCACATCTCACTGCAAGCATCTGGGAAATGTAGTATAGAAGGTAACTGATATTGGTGAACATGTGGTCTCTGTTATATTGACTTTTAGCTTGAGTGGGTTGAAGTTTATCCTGGATGCAGTGGTAGGTCGTCCTCAACCGTAGCAGAAGTGGGCATGCTCATGTAAGGGTCATACAAACTCCTTACAGGGGGCGACTTTTGTGTTATCTTTACTGCTGTATCCCTAGGATATGATAGGCCTTAAGCAAATGTTTGATAAAACAATGGAATGGTGGCTGGATGCTGGAAAGAAGGCCTGGTCACATTGAAAACATTCCAGGATGGATCAGTGAAAGAGAGTTGAGGCAGAGAAGCCAATCAGAAAGCGATTCTGAGCATCTGATAGCACATCTACAGTAGAAATACGTTCAGTTTTAGAAAGAGAAATGTTAACTTCCGTGATTTTACTCTCTTTGCAGCATAGCCACAGATTCTAATTTAACCAGAGTCCCAGATGAGTTGAGATCTTAGAAGCAGGTTGTGAGCTGCAACTGTGTTTCTAAGAAGGGCCTGGACTTTCTTTGGAGGGATTAACTGGAATGCAGCCTCTGGACTCGGGCTATGCCACATACAGCAACCCAAAGAAAATAAAACTTGACTAAACCAGCAAACCCAGACTGGGGTTCAGGTCACTTGAACCGGCTCTTGGGAAACACAGACGGCAGTTCCGCAGGTGTATTATGTACGCAAAATTCACTCTTCGACCTTATTGTAAGGAAAACCACTGGCGTACACATAATCTTTTGCCAGCTTTCAAAAGCACTGGATGAGTTACTCTTTTGCAATTGTGCGATATTTTTTAAGTTTCAATTTTAAAATATGCTTGAAAAATAGATGCTGATCCAACAAGAACAGAGAATCTGAATGAAAAGAATGTGTTCTCTGTGCACCTACAAGAAGTCAACACACAGGCAACCTTGTGTGGCCCGAGGCTTCAGGATTTTAGGAAGTTGCTCGCAGATGAATTTCTTTGAAATTAAAAGCAGAGGGCAGCATCTTGGGTGCTCCCTCTAGATTCGACTTTTGTATTTTATGTCTAAGCTGGGGCTGACCCCAAGGCCTGGCCATGACTCGGGTTACATGCCCTTGAAGTCTGATGAAAGGCCCCTAACTTCAGGATTATGCAGAGTTGAGTGAGGAATCTCAGAACAGCCTGGGATTCTCGGGAGAGTTTTAGTGATTCTTGTTGATCTGGAAATAATGTAAAAACAACAACAGAAGAGCTTTTTGTGGTATTTTTGCGTGTTTCCTATTGGTTTGGGGGAAGAATCCAACATTAAATAGGCATAAAAAATAACAGATATTTTAAAAGACGTGTAACATATCCTCCCCTTTTCATCCCTCCCCACCGAAAAATAAACTGTCATAATAAAAATGGTGAGAACAGGAAGGGAAAACAGAAACAACAGGCGAATGCAGTGTGCTGGGATGGGGACGCACAGGTCCCTCGTGGCTGAGGACCAGAAAGGAGTGGGGAAGCTGTGAGGAAGTGCCTCAGATGGAACCTTTCCTGTGCTGGGCCCACGGCTCTTTGAGCTACAAGTTTCTCGGTTCCTGAGGCCTCCTGAGATATAAATTATGCATTCAAGACGGGGAGTACCTGCAGGTACTAGTTTGGTTTCTAGCTCAAATCCCAGAGAAGCCAATTCATTGAAATTCCACTTGCTGAGTGATCTCTTTACCAAATTCACTGATTCTCTTAAAAGAAAAAACTTAATTATTCATAAAGTTTCATCGCAATTTCTACTGCACAGGATGGTTTTCTCTTCAGCTTTGCCACTTTGTTGGATGTAAGTCGACTGGAAAAGCTTTTTATTTCTGCCCCAGCTTTCTGAACGTGAAGTTACAACTTGCCAGGGCTGGGAAAGCAGGAGCCTCTGGTGAGGGATAGGAGGGGAAGTCAGTAGACTGTATCCTTAGGCATGGAAGAGGGGATGCTGAGGTTAAACACGGGGTACAGCGGGTGTTGAGGGTATGGAGTGCTGGAGAACAGAAAGGGTCAAGAATGAGAGTGAGGGAGCAGGGAAAATGTTCAGAGGCTCCACAACTTCTCCAAATAGGTTTCTGAGACTGGGCCAGTTCTTCTCATATCATACTTCATAACCTTACAGGTAATTAGTGGAAACAGGTTTGGATAGCTCGGTGAGTTCAGTGGAAGAGTTTCTTCTGAACCTGTGCTTTCAGTGTATCCATTCTCAGCAGGTGGGGCACTTCCTCTACCTGGAACCTCCTCGGGCCATTTGAGCAGCACCTTCCAGCTGTGGCAGAAAGCGAAGCCTTCCTGGAGGAAGATGTCCACAGAACCTGTAGAGAGATGCATGTCTGGAAGACAGAGGAAAGGTCTCAAAATGTTAAAGCATTTCTTTGCTTGCTTGGCAGAGTGGAAAGGGAAGGCAGTGACCTATCGGGATGGTCCACTCATCCTAGTTTGCATGAAACTTTCCTGGTTTCGGTATTCAGTTTCCAGTCCCAAGCACGCAGAGACAAGAATATCTGAAGTCGAAGATCAACTCAATGAAATAAAACGAGAAACCAAGATCAGAGAAAAAAGCACAAAAAGGAATGAACAAAGTCTCCAAGAAATGTGGGACTATGTGAAAAGACCTAACCTATGCTTGATAGGTGTACCAGAAGGGGATGAAGAGAATGAATCCAAGCTGGAAAATACTCTTCAGGACATTATCCAGGAAAATTTCCCCAACCTAGCAAGACAGGTCAACACTCAAATGCAGGAAATACAGAGAACACCACAAAGATATTCTGCAAGAAGAGCAACCCCAAGGCACATAATCGTCAGATTCAACAAGGTTGAAATGAAGGAGAAAATACTAAGGGCAGCCAGAGAGAAAGGTCGGGTCACCCACAAAGGGAAGCCCATCAGACTCACAGCAGATCTCTCGGCAGAAATACTACAAACCAGAAGAGAGTGGGGGCCAATATTCAACATCGTTAAAGAAAAGAACTTTCAACCCAGAATTTCACATCCAGCCAAACTGAGCTTCATAAGTGAAGGAAAAATAAAATCCTTTGTGAACAAGCAAGTACTCAGAGATTTTGTCACCATCAGGCCTGCTTTACGAGAGCTCCTGAAAGAGGCATTACACATAGAAAGGAACAACCAGCAGCATTCGACATCTACTCTAAAGCTGGTTTTGAGAAGGAAAAAGAAAAAGAAAAGTGGTGGTGGGTGAAGGGAGATGATGCTGGAGTCACCTCCTTGAAGGCAGCTGCAATCTGTGTGGCCCTCTGTGAAGATCAAAGGTTTTACCTGCTGGAAGGTAAAACCACGTGGGCCTGAGCAGTCGGCCTAGGGACCTCATACCAAGGAAGGGACTTAGGTTTGTTCTAGATTTCTTGGTTGTACAATCTGTGTGCACTTACTTTTCTAAATATGCTTTTTTTTTTCTCTCTCTCTCTTTTCTTAGGGAGGCAGGACACAATGTGTGAGAGAAGTCTGTCCCATTCTCTCCTGTCCCCAGCACCTTAGTCACATACCCCCAGGACAGTGCTGCCCCAAATGTTTGGGTGAGTTACTATTTTCAGGTCAAAGAACAATGTGATTTCTTCTCAAAGTTTCTGCTGGGAATGTTTATCCACACTGTTATCTCGAGGTTCTCAAGTTGTCCTGTTTCACGGCTTGTTAGAGATAACTGCCTCTTCTAAGTACAGAAATGGAAGATGTGTACGGGGTTTGCTTCTTAACAGAGGCCGCTAGGGAGGTTTTCTGTTGTCTTCACTTGTATCTGTAACGGGGTACGACAGATAACCTCACATAATTCTCCCTTGTGGTGAGAGATAATTGAAGAAACGATCTTTAGTAGGGCACATAACTGTTAACTAGAAGATATTTTAAAGGCATTTGAAGTAAAGCCATGGAGGAATATAGACTAGGGTTATTTTCAGAGTCAAAAACATGGAGGAAGAAACACTTGCAAGAAAAAAGAGGTTTGGAAGGAAATAGTGGATAAGAGCCAACAGAAAGAGAGTGTGATCTCTTCCTTACTGAACATTTCAGAGTCACTAGGCACATGCTAGGCACTTTATATAAATAGTGGATAAGAGCCAACAGAAAGAGAGTGTGATCTCTTCCTTACTGAACATTTCAGAGTCACTAGGCACATGCTAGGCACTTTATATAAATAGTGGATAAGAGCCAACAGAAAGAGAGTGTGATCTCTTCCTTACTGAACATTTCAGAGTCACTAGGCACATGCTAGGCACTTTATTTGTTTCTCATTTGATCTTCTCAAGAAACTGTGAAATGTAGGTACTAAATATATAATTCCTATGTGTAAGGCAGGTGCTATTATTAGTTTTATCGTGCTGAGAAGGAAGTAGATTCCTAGATGTCAGTCCAGCGAGTGCATTACGGAGTTGAAACCCTACCATAAATCTGTGTGATTCCCGAGCCCAGCTCTAACTCCCTGCAGCTCCCCTTCCCTGGTGACACAAGAGGGCTGCATGCATGTTGCCAGCTGAAAGGGGACAATATATGATGGGTATTTTCCAGAGCATGAGGTTCATTGGCTTTGCTTACATGTTACATATATGCTACTTTTTTTTTTTGAGGCGGAGTTTTGCTCTTGTTACCCAGGCTGGAGTGCAATGGTGCGATCTCAGCTCACCACAACCTCTGCCTCCTGGGTTCAGGCAATTCTCCTGCCTCAGCCTCCTGAGTAGCTGGGATTACAGGCACATAATCCCATGGTGATGCCCAGCTAATTTTTTGTATTTTTAGTAGAGACGGGGTTTCACCATGTTGACCAGGATGGTCTCGATCTCTTACCTCGTGATCCACCCGCCTCGGCCTCCCAAAGTGCTGGGATTGCAAGCGTGAGCCACCGTGCTGGCTATGCTACCTTCTTAATGATTCCTGGGCCCTTGAGCGAGTCGAGGTCAGACTAAGGTTCAAATGAATATGGTGGCTTGAGCCACCATGCAAATACAATAGAACCTCTGGTAACCTCCCTAGGATCACCAGGGATCCTTGGTAACCTCCCTAGGATCACCAGGGATCCTTGGGGGCCTAATGCTTTTCCTAATCACCTCTGGCTTGGTGTTTCTGCTCCTGCTATTTCTCTTGATTTCTGTTCTGTTCTGTTCTTTCTTTTCTTTTTCTTTAAACATCATTTTGTCCCTGTAGAGGCATCTCCCTTCAAGTTTGTTTACATCCTGGGGGGCCACTGAGTCAAGGCTTTGATAGCAGATTTCACTGAAGGTTTGCAGGCAGTAAGAGGGATTGTTTTACACAGAAGCATACTGAACAACATAAAATGAAATATTCAACTCTCTCGTTCTTAAAAGGTCTTAGCTGTTTTGCCTTTGGGAGAACGTCACTGATTGTCTCTATTTGAGCTCCAGCCTCTTGCCATGCCTTTTCCTTGAATCCTCTCTCCTTCCTTTCAGAGTTTGCTGTCTTCAACTCCAAAGCTACCTGTCGATTTATTTTTCTCATTTCCAAGTTAGCACAGCCATACCATGAAGTCTGTTTTTTTTAACACCACGTTGACAAATATAGGTATTTTGTTAAACTAAGAGCTTTCTCCTCCTTGATATCTTCTGCTGCTAACGTCACCTAACGATGCTTGCCTTCCTGCTACACACACACACGCACACATACACACACACACGCTACACACACACATGTATACATACGTACACACGTTTTAAGTGAATGTGAAACAGAAGGACAAAACAGAATTGCGTAGACACTCCTGAGGAAGACATTTCCACTTCTCTGTGTTCTGTTTGGGTTGCCAGTGTGTGTTCCCGGAATAGGATTGGCCAGTTGAGTGTGGCACAAATCATCATGCTGCGGGCCACGGTGGAAGCAGTGGCCATTTAAACAGGAAGCCATCACAAAGGAGGTGGCATCTGGTCTGGCCCAAAAGATAAGTAAACTTGATTAATGCTTTGAAGCTGGTGCTGTGGCTATGCTGAGTCAGCTCAGAAGGTTCCACATGAACAACAGCTATCGTATTGAACACAGCTTTTTCTGTTCATTTGTGGTTATAAGGCATACTGTAAAAGGAACAGGAAGTTTTGAGAAACTTGAAAATCATAACTCTTCCAAACAAGATATTTTTTGGTTGGGCTAGACCCCAGCGGAATGATCTAGAAATGTCTTAAGTCAGGCTATGCAGGAATTCTCTGAACCACTCCACTGAAGGTTTTACCTTATGTTGGACCATGATGACTTTGGGATCAAGGTAAGATTTTTATGCTCTTTGAGGGCAAAAAACAACCCCACATAGCAAGAAACAAAGACAAAACAGCAAACAAACACTAGGATGCTTTGTGGATGCTGAAATCTTAGTCTAATTTGATTTGAGGTGATTAGGTGCTGTTTCTCTCTGAAGTTTTCCCTTGGGCAGGGTTCACTGACATGATATACCTCTGCCTTTTACATTACAACATTCCTTTCCTCGTTTTCCTCATTCTCAATGGAGAGTCTCAGCACAGGTCAGTGCACGTACAGCAGCATCGAATTCACTCTCACCGACACAGCCCAGGATCATATTTGAATTCTATCACCTCTAATAATCACAATAATCTAATAAGCATCTACCATTTATTGGGGATGTGTAATGAACAGCAGGCACTGCTCCAAGAGCTTTATTTTTACAATTTTAAGTAAAATTTTAATTTTAGTAAGGAAGAATTCAAGCCATTGTCACATTTATTCAGGGGGATAAGCACATTGAAGAGTCTGTCAGTCAATCAGTAAATGAATTGATCAATAGACTCATCCAACCATCCCCCCTGTGCAGAAATATTGGCTGCTGTAATGGTCCTATAGGTAACAGGTTATGGGAATGCAGGAAAAGGTCATTAGCTCTAAGAGGTGGAAGGGCCTCCACAGAAACCATGTGAGCTCAGCCACGAAGAAGATGCATTTTGATTGGTGGAGGATGAAGCTTCTACAGAGAGCTCTGTAACTGTCTATTTATTTATCTTCTGCCTTTTGCCAACAAGAATTTAAGGCCACTTACAAAATACATGAAGCACATGTAGATAAAGGATAGTAAAAAGACAAAGCAGATTGTCACAGTTAAAAAAAACTACTCAGTTGAAGCAGAGATATTTTAAACTATTAAAGGACAGAAATACATCTGATGGCTTGATTAAAAGGATGATAATGTTTGAAGTCGTAAAAAAGACTTCACCATCATTTTTATAGTAAATTCAAAGAAACAACTGCTCAGTCATGTTTTTTATCGTAATGCCCTAAAATTAAGGGATGATTAGACAGAAGTGATTATAATGGGATGGGCAAAATCCATGTGATCCAGGATGTGTACAGCTTTCTGATTCTTCAGGGTAAACCTACTTGGGTTCCTTAGAGAAATATTTAGGGAAAGGATGAATTTTTTAATTTTTCAGATACTCCTTTAATTTAGTATATCAGTTCTTAGGAAGTTCCAGACACGAGACCTGGGTGTGCACATAATACCTGTGTCAGCTGGGGAATTCACAGTCACCATGCTAAATCATGTCTAGCCGTGACAGAGTTTTTGGTTGTATGTTTTAATATTAACACTTAGCAAGAGGTAGGGACATGGCGATGTGGTGTGGATCATGCCATTTTATGAGTGAAGTCAGCGAGGCCTGGAGAAGTAACACTCAGTGGTCACGAGGGAGTCATACATAGGATCCAAATTATAACTCACTTCCATCTTTTGAGGGCCAGCAAGTTTGCTCTTGGTAGGGAGAACCACATTAATGATTTAGTTCTGCATTCGTATTGTTTCCTGGCCTTGAGGTCGGCTACAATAGGAAGATAGCACGTTTTTATTGACTCCTACTAACAATTATTCCAACAACTCTAATTCTGAGAACAGCATTCAGTATGTTTAGGTATTTTGAGCATGCCATTGGGCCAACTGATAAACAGAAATTGCTATTAGCCTTTTACAGGAAGAAAGAGTGGTATGAATAGAAATTTGATCAGCGAAAGTGAATTAACTTAGTCTTTAATTAAAGTAACATTGCAGGGATGTTTTGGTGTGCTTCAAGGAGTAGCAACTCAAATCCTAAAAGAAAGGAGGAAATTCGATTGTACTCTTTATTTGGGATTGCCGTTTTGGTCCTTTTGTTCACCAATCCAGTCCTCACATCAGGGGAAACTGAGTATCTACAGAGATACTTACTATGCCTGAAAGGCTGGACACTCGACATGTGCCTCTGTGTGCCCTTTGGGTTAGCTTCACCCTGTATTCTTTTATGTAACTTCATGACTGAGATGCTGTCTTTGTCTGTTTAGTCTACTCTGATAAAACACCATAAACTGTGTAGCTTTTAAACAACAGAAATTTATTTCTCACAGTCTTGGAGGCTGGGAAGTCCACGAACAAGGTACTAGCAGGTCGGCTGATTGGCTCATAGATGGTGTCTTCTTGCTGTGCTGTCACGTGGTGGAAGGGATGAGGTTCCTCTCTGGAGCCTCTTTTATAAAGGCACTAATTTAATTCATGACAGGTTTGTGCTCCTGACCTAATCACCTTTCAAAAGCCCCACCTCCTAATACCATTACATTGGTGATTGGATTTTACCATATGAATTTTGTGGAGACACAGACTTTCAGGCCATAGGAAACAATATTTCGTTAGTTCTTTTTGCTCCTCGGAGACCTTCTTGAGACACCTTGCCTCCTCCTGCCTCCACCCACCTCCCTCCCCTGCCCACACCAAACTTTTAGTTACTTTTACTTGTTATCAAGAAGCTCCGCAGTCATTATATCTTCTGACTTCTCTGACCTCCCAGTTCCCACAGTTTCCAGATCATCTTCTTTCTAGAACCTGTCTTACTGTTGTATTGAAACAATCTTTGATGAGTCTGCCTTTTCACTAGACTGCAAGCTTCCTGAGGGGAGCTCATGTCTTAGTGATTTTGGTTTACTGTGATGAACGCATAGATTTGTTGAACTTACAAGCTTCATTGTGGAATCAAAGTCTTTTTTTTTTTTTTTTAACAAACTTTGTCCAAACTAATGACTCCTGGGGATTCTTCGGACTTGTCTGACCCCAGGCTCTATATCTGTGCTCCAGACTTACCTTACCTGGTGTTAGGAGAATGTAAATGGTCCTATGATGGAATCACTGATGACAAAATGGAACACCCCCGATTCTGTCTTACTTACACTGTACTTCTGTTTCTCTCTAGGTCAGAGGAAAGTGTTTGACCTCCCTTTTGGGAGCTGCCTCTTTCGAAGTGACGTTTATGACAATGGATCCTCGTTTCTCTATGATAACTGCACAGTTTGCACTTGCAGGGTAAGGCGGCTCTGAGAGGCTGTGGCCCAACACTGACAGTGTCTGGGTTTCAGCCAGAGGCAATGGCGTGTTACTTGTTGGGAGGAAGCATTGCTGACCCCATGTTACAAGGAAATCATACTCAAGGTCAGCAAGAACTTTACACATAGGACCCAGGCTATAGCTCGGTCACCTTCTAAGGACCAAGAAGTTAGCTCTTTGTAATGAGAATCAGGTTCCAAGGGCCTATTGTGAGGATTTTCTGAAATCAGACAAATACATATGGCAGTGCCCTCTGGCTCTAATCATCCAAGATGAATTCTGTAAGACACCTGGCAATAAAAATTGCTGTTAACCACATTCAGGGGAAGAGAAAGGCATGGATTGAGAGTTCATCACAAGATTAACCTGGCAGTTTCGGAAGAGAGTATTTACCTGTTGTTGATTGTATCATGTCTTACTTGAAGCTTTGTTCATTTTTCTCAAAAGGCAACCAGAAGTCTAATTACTGCTAAAGAAAGAATTCCACAGCTTCCGAATTTTAAAGGGACTCACGTCACACATTCAATGACTGTACTTATGCAGTGATTTATTTTTGAAACCCAGAAGAAATACATTGATCAGGGAGAACTTTAAGATTACTCGTTAGTGAGTTAAAGGATATATCTGTCTGACAAGTTTAGAAGACACTTCGGTGGTGATGGTCGTTGTTTCGTTTTCATTAGTTAGAGGTCTGGAGAGAGAGAGAAGGGAGCTGTGCTGGAGGTCAGCTGTGAGTCAGTAGCTGTGATTAGAGCTTAGTCGTTCCTGATTACTTGAGGCAGGCTCTGTTCATTAGCATGCACCACTTCAGGGGGTGGCTTGGTATGGGCTGAACTGTCCATTCCCCTGAACACCAAACATGGAGGAATTCCTGAGTTTGAGAATACCTTCCAGAAGCTTCTTCCTCCTCCCATGGTATGTGTTACCCTTTGCTAAATGTGTGGCACCCCCTTTTCGCCTTGGCGTTTATCTTCAGGAATTCTCTCCACTAAGAGTTTCACAGGTGATAGCTTCCTCTTGGGGATACGGAGCCTTTGATGGGACATATCACATTCCCAATTCTCTTGCTGGCAGGAAAGCCAGTCATCCCATGAATGGGAGTTAGTTATACTTGCCATGCTTTGGGTTCACGGATTCCTTGGGAGATGACTAGGTAATACATCCCGTGCTTAGCAGGAAGTGGAGTTAACACTCTTCCTCCAAGAGGCTGTTTTACTTGAGTGTGAATTCACAGTCATCTTGGGGATGTTAAATGCTTGAAAAATCAAGCTGCCATTATTTTGAGTAATCAGTATTATTTTCTCTTTGCTTTGAGCTTTTCTCTCTGGCATTCCCATCCAGGGTTTCTCATGATTTCCGTGGCAGGTGCAGGAACCTGTTGAATATGGTTTAATAGAGTTGGCTCTTCAACAATACGGGGGTCGAGGCATCGATTCCCTGCACAGTTGAAAATCCATACCTACTTTTTGACTCCTTAAAAACTTAACTCATAGCTTACTGTTGACTGAAAGCCTTACCAATAGTATAAACAGTCAATCAACATATATTTGGTATGTTCTGTGTATTACATACTGCATTCTTACAATGAAGTAAGCTAGAGAAAAGAAAATGATATTTAGAAAGACATAAGGGAGAGAAAATATATTTACTGTTTAGTAAGTGGAAGTTGATTATCATAAAGGTCTTCATCTTCTTTACATTGAGTAGGCTGGAGAGGAGGAGGGGTCAGTATTGTCTCGGGGTAGAAGAGGCAGAGGAAGTGGAAGGAGAGGGAGGAAAGGCAGGCACACTTAGTATAACTTCTACTGAAAAAAATTCTGAGTGTAAGTGGACCCATGCAGTTCGAATCCGTGTTGCTCAAGTGTCAATTATAGTTTTCTCCACATGCAGAATGGTTTCAGATCTTTGATCTTTGTGCCTTCAAATTTGACAGTTCCTCTACCAACAATGTGATTACCGTCTTTAAATTTGAATAGCAAATGCCTCTTCATCTGCAATAGGCTATCTCAGGTGTCATACAATCTGAGGGGCTTTCCTGACTTACCTGGTCTTTGCACCTGTGCTAGTCCTGTTTCCCATATGATAACTGCAGTTTGTTTGATTACATGGTTGTCTCCCTTCTTACATTGTGAGGAACCCCTTGAGGACAGTACATTTATCCATCTCTGTATTTGTATTATCATTGCTTAACACAGTGCTAGGCACCACGGTCTAACGATATGTATATAAAGCTCTCTTTCTCTCTCTCTCTCCCCTTCCCTCTCTCTGTGTCTCTCTGTACACACACACATACACACACACAATGAAAGCAGGGAGACCTATGATGAAGTATGCATTGTTTGACAGCTAGTGAGTGCCCTTGTTTTTAAATAAGAAATCAGAATATGCAGTTTAACAAAGGATTTTTTTTCCAATTTAAGTTGGTTTATAATATTTTTGAGGTGCCAGTTGTTTTACATTTCAGAGGCACAGTAAACCTGAGAAGCAATAGGCAGAAGAGCCATTTTTGGAAATCAAATCACACTTCTTTAACTTGCAGATGATATAAAGTCTTCACCTTCAGTGGATAAGTGGCCGGGTCAAAGCAACTCCACTCCGGTAGAGCTCTGGAACCCAGGTCCGGTTCTGAAACTGAACATTCAGTTCTTTTGTGAGCACAGAACACACTTGAGAAATCTTGTCCCAAGGTGGTGCATTCACACTTATTTTTTACTCCCTGACCAAAGACATTGTACCTTTATGTTAAACTCCAAAAGGTGGCATATAGCCCCGGAGGAACCCCAAGAGAGCCGTATTAGTGCAGGTTGCAAAGAGGCAGAGGGCAGGAAGAAGGAAACTGGTGGCTGGTGGGAAGCTGGGCGGTCTTGCCGCATGCTGGTGGAGTGGGCTCCTCAGACTTCAGAACGTGAAGTCGTAAACCTTTGGGAGGCAGGGGTTGCAGGCCACGGGTTCCCCAGTGTCCTCATATTCTAGTCTAGATACTTAACAAATCACATTTTGAAGTGAATGAGAGATTTATTGCAATAAATTAAAATGTGATACCTACAGACTGTGTTTTAACACAGATAGTTATGGGTCACGAGAGGAAGGCCAGGCGGGACGTTTGGTGGAGGCGAAAATCGTTTTTAATTTCGAGTTTGCCTTTGGGCCCCCAGGACTCCACTGTGGTTTGCAAGAAGAAGTGCTCCCTCCCTGGTGGCTGCGACCAAGGCAAGGAGGGCTGCTGTGAAGAGTGCCTCCTACGAGTGCCCACAGAAGACATCAAAGTGTGCAAATTTGGCAACAAGATTTTCCGGGTATGACACGAGACCAGCACATGGGAACTGCTGTGTTACGACGCTGACAGTTGAAGAGCTCCAGACACAATGCAGATTGGGTTATCTCATAATTTCTGTACGCATATACAAATGTATATGTGTGCATGTAGTAATAGAAGATATCTATTTACATTACAGTATTATAGATACATATATATTCAGAATCAAGTGCAGATGGGGCAGATAATCAACCCTTTGAAAGATGTTTTTCTTGGCTATATTTTTGCCGAAATACGTTAAGCCTGTAAAACCAGCCTGATTGCCTGGGAGTACCTCGTCTCGCGGGAGACGCTCAGTGACACTTGTCAAGGTGGTGCTCCTTGTCAAGGTCCTGATGGATCTATAGAGCTTGATGCTTTCGGAAGATTTTCACAAAGCCACCTTTTCAAAGAGAAATTGTCTCATTTGGAAGCTATTCAGATAAGGATGTTCATAGTGTGCGTGGCCAGCACGGTAGTCGAGCCAGGTGAGAGAGCTCTGCCCCGCTGAACTGAAAAGGTTGTCTTTTGGCCATCCAGTATCCATCGCAGGTGTACTTTACATTATTTTCTGAGGACCCCAGGTGGGAAACAGTGCATTGGCCATTTAAACTTCAAAATGCAAGATGGTTGGCTTTGTCCAGAGTACCTCCCACCTAGTCTATTTTCCCAGGGGTGGAAGGAGTCAGATCACTCTGTACATGATGCCCATGAGAATCAAGGCTTTCAGAATCAAGCCGGTTGTGGGAGCTCTGCAGTGAGCCAGACTTCCTGTCACACTGAAGTAGCTGGAGGGAGAGATCTTGGTTCTGATGGAATCAGTAAGAAGACCTGAGGGGTTGCACAGTCTCTCTTATAAGTGGGAGCCGAATGGTGGGATCACATGGACATGGGAGGGGAGCGACACACACCAGGGCCTACTGGGGAGTAAGGTGGAGGAGGGAGAGTGTTAGAAAGAATGGCTAATGCATGCTGGGCTTTATAGCTAGGTGATGGGTTGATAGGTGCAGTAAACCACTGTGGCACACATTTACCAATGTAACAAACCTGCACGTCCTGCACATGTACCCTGGAGCTAAAAATAAAACAAAATAGATAAATTAAAAAAGAGAAAACAATTGAGGACACACACACAAAAAGACATAAGGTGTCATACCCAGCAAAGAGGGAGGCATGTGTGTTATATTTACACCAGGCTTTCAGAGATGCTCGTATGTCCTCTTGATATAAAGTCTCCTCCTCCTCTGTCTCCAGAATACCCAGCTGAAATAGCTTCACCCTCACTATGATGCTGTGTGCAACGCACTTTTAAGTCACCTTGTACAACAGTTCCTTTAAATGAATGAGGCTTAAAATAATTCACAGAAACATGGATTTCTTTAATGTGTACTCAGAGCACTTGGAACAGTCAGGCGTTTTTAAAGGCAGATCCGGTTAGGTCTTTCTCTCTCGAAAGGCACTAGAGGGTAGACAGTCCTTAAAATAGCGTCAAAAAGTCAGGAAGGGAATGAGGAGGGGAAGTCATCAAAGATCTGAACTACTTTTCTGTTTTTAACAAAAATCCGTTGCTTGGATCGACAAGCCCAGGAAGGAACCCTTATTTTGTTTTCAGGTCCAACTCTGTTGTCTGTGATCTTTTTTACCCACAAGCAAGGATGCACATCCCTGCCTGTCCTCCAGAGGTACAGGGACTTCTTGCGGCATTTGGCATTCAAGATTATACATTTCATGAGTGAAAGAAATTCCTCAAATGGCTCCTTCTGTCTGAGCAAGAATCTAGTCTAGGAAATAAGTGCTGCCCTGCTTTTTGAGAGGAGAGGACTAGATAGGCAGGGACAGGGTGTACATGGCGCTTAGAGGCTTCTCTCTGAGCTCTGCATTTTCGGTGACTTGCCCATCAGGTATCTGTCTGAGCTCTGGGAGTCATGTGAGTTAGCCTCTGTTTTAGGCATGTCCCGTATGGGCTGGAACCATGGCACATCTGGTGATTAACCACCTCTGGACATCTCAATTAACTATTGGTGCCTAGGTTGACTTAAATATTTCAGTCTTATCAAACCAGGGAAAATTAGATTCCTGCCACTTTTTCATGTATGAAAATTCATGCTTGGTTTTCCCGCCAGGGTGGAACTAAGTAAACAATGCATGACAATAAGACATAAATATGATTTTGTTGGACACACAAAAATTCTTTTTTTTTTTTCTGAGATGGAATTTCACTCTGTCTCCAGGCTGGAGTGCAGTGGTGAGATCTCAGCTCACTGCAACCTCTGCCTCCTGGGTTCAACTGATTCTCCTGCCTTAGCCTCCCAAGTAGCAGGGACTACAGATGCGTGCCACCATGCTCAGCTAATTTTTGTACATATGTATTTATTTTTGGGACAGAGTCTCTCTCTGTTGCAGGCTGGAGTGCAGTGGCACAATCTCCTCTCACTGCCATCTCTGCCTCCCAGGTTCAAGTGATTCTCCTGCCTCAGCCTCCCATGTAGCTAGGACTACAGGCATGTGCCACCATGTCAAGCTAATTTTTGTATTTTTTTTTTTTTTTTTTTTTTAGTAGTGACGGGGTTTCACCACATTGGCCAGGATGGTCTCAAACTCTTGACCTCGTGATCCACCTGCCTTGGCCTCCCAAAGTGCTGGGAGCCACTGTGCTAGGCCAAAAATTCTTTTTATATACAGGAGGGGGCACACACACACACACACACACACACTTGCATACAATCTGAAATCTTCACTAATCTTTATCTTAAATCAATTGGGTGTAGACAGACACCTGAGTCATTGAGTCTAATGATGGCACCCCTCACTCAGGGCCAGAAATGCTGTCCGCCATGAAGAAATCACAGTCTGTTGCCTCAACCCTGTCATCCTCCAGCTGCTGACAGCATCCTGTGCCTTCTCTTGTAGGATGGAGAGATGTGGTCCTCTATCAATTGTACCATCTGTGCTTGTGTGAAAGGCAAGACGGAGTGTCGCAACAAGCAGTGCATTCCCATCAGTAGCTGCCCACAGGTACGTCTGGAATTCAGATTGACTTTACCTTGGTGTCTTGAGAAGTGTCCTGTGTGTGACATGGTGGCATACCATCTGCCAAACACAGACTCCAGCTCCCCAAAGCCTCCACATTCCTGAGTGGCCAGATGCCCATCGCAAAGTTTGCTCTTTCTTTTAGCAGATGTTAGCCTTGCATGAAAATAGCGTTTGCTTTGCTCTTGTCTCAATTCTGATTTCTTATAGACTTCTCCCAATTCATTCTGAAAAACTTCTCCAACTCCTGTAAGATCTCTCTCTCTGTTTTCTTTTGCCAGGTTTTAACATTGTAACTGTCTTTTGCCTTCTCCTCTTTTCTCTCCCTTGTCAAATCAGAGCTTTTCCTCTTGTAACCATTCAAAGTAGCATGTGGCTGTTTATTAATTCTCCACCAAGGGATTTCTCTTGCCTCACAGTATCCCCGATTTCTTTGCTGAAGTTTTCTCTCTCTATCCCTGGCCTCCATTGTAGCCCCAAATGGAAATAGCATCCTTATGGAAATAGCTCTTTTCAAAAACCCATAGCCCAGCACACTGAATAAAGCAACCATTATCTTCTAAAGCATGAGCTTCATTGAATTCACCTCCGCAACTTGAAACCTTTTAAAGTTTTATACATTTTGGGAAAATGTCAAACCTATTCAAGACCTTCCTGTGAATGAAAAAATATATCCATATATTCAGGACATGTCCTCGCTTCTCTGTTACAGGCAGCGTTTAATTTTATCCTCATCTGTTATTATTATAAACAAAAAGTTGCTGTTTTTACTTGAGTGCCAAATGAGGCACAAAAAAACAACAGCTGTTGCTATTGCACAACTGAATAAAGAGGAGAGGAAAAAAGAAAAAAAAACCCTAATTAGTCTGGCTTTAAAAAGCCTCAGACATAGAACTGAAAGCCTCCCATAAAAGGAAAAAAAAAAAAAAAAAGAAGATACACTAAGTAGACTTGAACACAGTCTGCTCATAAATATTCATTGGGAAAAACGGGATCACATCATGTATGCCGGTCCTCCGGGAACCCTCGCTGCTAATGAACTCTTGCAGCACATGTTAGTAATAATGGGCTTCCTTATTCTACAAGACAAAACCAGGGTGCTGTGCCAAGCTGGTGGCTCAAGTAACTAGCCTCAGCAGGCCGTCGTGGAGTTTCCAGCTTCACTAGAGTTCTGCCACTCGAAGCTGATTGATGGTTTTCATTGTGCTCTTGCTAGTGGTGGGGGGAGGTCAATGTTCTTTATGTCACTGGTGTCTCATTAGCCTTTCATCATTGTGGACCACATTTGGGCCAGGGGCATCCATTCCTTCAAGCAGAGGCCATTGCCTGCCCCACCCACCCCCTCCACGCCTTCTCAAAGCTTGCGGGTGCCCCCCGCCTCAGGGGCTACCTTTCTGTTTCTAGGCATCCTTCCAACCACTCCTCTAGTTCACACTTTCCCTTCTCAGGGGCCAGCAGGAGGTCTTTGGAAGATCACCCAGCTCTATCTACCACGGAAATCTTGTTAAAAACTTACTTCCCCTCCCCTACATTGCCTGGGGAAATTTTGAAAAAAAAAAAGAAAAAGAAAAAAAGAGAAGCTTGTATTCCCTGCTCTTTCCTGGCTACTGCAGATCTCTTTTTCCAGATGTAAATATCTCTTGTGGAAGAAGGGTTTCATGATTGAATTCCGTGTCTGTCCTGCCCCCGTCCTGCAACTCCCCCAGGGGCAAAGGAGTGCCATTTGTGAGAAGGGCTATGAGGCCTGCAGTGTGGCCTGGGTCATCAGAACATCTCTCCATCTCTAACACGTACTGAGATTTCATAGTCACAGCACTAATCTCATTTAATGCTGACATCACCCCTCTGAGGCGGGTGCTCTTTCTAGACCCTGCTCATGGATGAGCCTACAGCATGACCAGCCTCTCAGCTAATTGCATATTCCCCAGGTGCTCTAACTTTACAGCTTGTACCTGACTTATTCTCCCATCTAATTTAGTGATATCACTGCCACTTTCATTTTCTGAAGACGAGAGATGGAAGTTTCCACCGAGACGTGCATGCCGGGAGCCGTAGTCAGTTTGGTTGGGGCCTTGGCTTTCAGGCGGCCCTGCTGCATTAGGATGGAGCACCTGAATCCTCTCGGGGTCGTCATTCCCTGGGCCTAGCTGACCTCATTTGGCTCCATCTGCAACTGCTTTCAATATTGAAAAACCTAAAGAGACCCCTGTGCCAAATTGCAACTGACAGCAGAGCTCTAGGCAATGAAAATATATTGTGATGCCCCCACACTATGGCTGGCTGTCTGGGGCTGAGTTTTAAGTCTCATTCAAAGTGTCAAAGCCTTTAATGTATCATTTTAGGCCTAGCTGATACAAAACCACATCGGACCTGTTTAAAGATCTTCAATAATTAACCAGAATCCTTTAAGTCAATATGATTTTTTCTTTTTGGGAACTTAAGCCTACTCTCCATGCAACTGACAGTACTGAATGGGCGAATGAGCAGTGTGTGAGCCGCGCGGCTTTGACATAAGCCTTGGCAACCTGTCTGTGGTCTCTGTTTCCTTAGTTCCCTGGAAACGGGATAAGGATGCCTGCAGGTGGAGGGTGGTTGTGAAATTTCAATGATCAAGTACGAGGAATACATAGCACTCAGTCTGGTGTATAGCAGATAGCAAATATTAAATTATCTTCCAGAGAAAGGACTCGAGAGGACAGAACTCTGCAATGGCAAGAACGTGTCCTTTAGGGACAGACAAAGTTAGGTTTGATTTTTGCTTCTACTGCCCCTGTGTTTCATGTCATCAATTTCTTCACAGATAAAAAGGGAAATACTCAGCTCATAGGGTTCTTATGCATCTTCAGAACAGTGATTGTAAAATCACGAATGCTCATTAAATCTTAATAGGTCGTAAGTATTAACTGATTAAATCCTTATCACTAACACAGGTAAAATATGGAGTAAGATGTTTGTTGTACAGCAAGTGCTCCCTAAATGTTAAACTTCTTCCACATTTCTTTTTCTCTGTGATTAACCATTGAGTCAGAGATAAGACAACTGATTTTCTGACATGAGTCCAGAATATACCACCTCCTTTAAATGACATGCATTAAAAAAACTTAAAAGATGTGCAGTGTAGGAAATGGCACTGTATTTCCAGAAAGGTAAGGAAGCGTTCCTCAGCGTTTCAAAGTTCTCAGCTTCCTTGGCTTTGAGTGCATGACAGTGATTCAGCATGGACACATACCACGTCCTGAAACAAGAAATCTGACCGAATTTGATCCACACCACAGATATTGCCCATACCCATGGTGCTGAGGAGTCCTGAGCTTGGATTACAGTTTATTGTTTAAGCTCCTCCAACAAGAAAGACAGAAAGAAGGTCTTGTAGGGATTGATAGGTTGACAGATAATTTTCATTTTTTTTTTTTTTTTTTTTTTTTTTAGACGGAGTTTCGCTCTTGTTCCCCAGGCTGGAGTGCAATGGCGCAATCTCGGCTCACCGCAACCTCCGCCCCCTGGGTTCAGGCAATTCTCCTGCCTCAGCCTCCCGAGTAGCTGGGACTACAGGCAAGTGCCACCATGCCCAGCTAATTTTTTGTATCTTTAGTAGAGACGGGGGTTTCACCATGTTGACCAGGATGGTCTCGATCTCTTGACCTCGTGATCCACCCGCCTCGGCCTCCCAAAGTGCTGGGTTTACAGGCTTGAGCCACCGCACCCGGCCAATAATTTCCATTTTTATGTGTGTGCCCTTGGTCTCTAGAGAGCTACATTGGGAAATCAATGAAAAGGTTGAGTCCAAACTGTCTTCATCTTCCTTCCATGTGAGAGAAATCACACGAGTGAGTGCTTTAGGTATTATGTTTCTTGGAGGATAAAAACAGAGAAGCTTACGGAATAACTTTGGCTGGCCCTGGAACCTGACACCCGAAACTTCGTTTTCATTATCATCATCACCATCTGGGCATTGAGTTCAAATACAGCTTGGACTGATTTCACTGGTTTTCGTTGCTGGTATTAGATTTAAAAAAGATATTTGTCCTCAGCAGACCCTGTATTTTTTTTTAAACATTAACCTTTTATTTGTTTTCCTTCTGATTAGGGCAAAATTCTCAACAGAAAAGGCTGCTGTCCTATTTGCACTGAAAGTAAGTTCATTCCTTTGAAAATACGCTATTAGTGCTTGTTTTGAATTTTATAGTGCAATAAGAAAAATAGGGGTGTATGTTTCCCACGCATTTTATTTTTGTAGGTGTATTTAGGATGGGATCGTCTCACCTCCCTACAGACACTTTAAGTCAATTGTAATCCCCACACAGAAGCACAACTGAGACAAATATAGATATTTCCATCAGAGTTTGTTGCTGTGAGAAATTAAGAATATAGTGGTTTGATTCGATTTTTAAAAGGACCAGATAACTTAATGTGCATTTTAGCATCTGTAGCCATCCCGGCTAAGATAATGCTATCGAGTAAAACCAAACATTACACCAAGTCCAGGAGGGGCTCTCCTTCTCCCATTACAAAAGCCAACAGCAGCACGTCCTGCTCCCTCACGTCACCCCCACCTCCTCACCATTTCACCCGGGTGCATCCAGTCTTGCTGTTGGCAGAGAGAAAACCGGAGGTCATTGGGTGGTTTTGCCAACTTATTGTAGTCGTGTGTCACTTAGCAGGATGTGAAATGCATTCTGAGAAATGCATCCTCAGGCGATTTGTTGTGTGAATATCATAGCGTACATTTGCACAAGCCTAGATGTGTCACCTCCTACACATCTAGCCTATATGGTATAGCCTGTGGCTCCTCGGCTACAAACTCGGATACCATGTTGCTGTACTGAATACTGTTAGGCAGTTGTAACACATGGTAAGTATTTGTGTATCTAAATAGGAAAGGTGTAGTAAAAATGCAGTGTTATATTCTTATGGGACCACAGTCCTATATGTGGTCCAAAGTGTTGTTATGTGACTCATGACTATTTTTAACTGAATTCTTGAAAGTTCCTTCTAAGCATGGCCTATTTTGGAAGTCATCTGCTACTGTACTACTTATCACACAGACAGAGCATGGCAATAGAATCATATCATCCCCACATGGAGTCACACGCCTAGATCTATTAGCAAATTGCCATCTTAGTCCTCCTGAAAGTCATATGGTTTTGAAATAGCTTCCTGGAATGTCTCACTGATAGAGGGGAGTTAGTAATGTCACTGTCAAGTTAGTTCCCATGTATGATAAGTAGGATTAACAAGTCATACAATCTATCAGTGTATTTTATGAGCCAGTTATGTTTAGAGAAGTGGGCTGGAAGACAGTCGAAAGCAGCTTTCACATGGGAACAGGCTTGCTTTTTTGCACTTCTCTAAAACAGTTATTTTACTATAATTTCTAGACTCGTATTTTTAATTGATTAGTGCCTTTAGATAATGTATATGAAGGGTTATTATATATGTGTGTGTGTTTATATAAAACTATTAAATGTAATATTTATCTACTATTGCTATTTTTAGAAGCAGAGAGCTATTAAACAATTACATATTGGGTACAAATGCTGGTTGAATTAATGAAAAATAAATGACAGATGTAGTAAAAAAGGTTTACTTTAAAGATCATGAAGTACATAAAATAACTCAATGGAGGCCAGTGGAGTTTGGCTTCGCAGGATTCAGGAAGAATGTGGGGAGACAGATCAGCTATGATGAACACACCAGCTGATTTAAAAACATGTGTGAACTCCAACACATTTAATCACCCTCCCAGAGACCCTGAGGAAACCTTATTTAGGGTTGGTTCAGAGGCTGCCTTCTGCTTAATTCCTTTCTGGATGAGCAGGATCCAGTCTACATTGGTGAAGTTGTCCTTTGTATCCGCGTCAATGGAGATGTTTGCATTCCCTATAAAGTGTCTCCCAGTTAAAGCAGAGACAGACCTCAAAGGAACGCCCCATATTTGCTAGTTAACGCTTTCGATTTGCATGAGTACAGACCTGTTACATCTGCCAATCACATTGTTGTCAGGTAGGATCACTGCTTAGCAGCTTCATAAAAACGTATGACCAGACAGGCACAGTGGCTCATGCCTGTAATCCCAGCACTGTGGGAGGCCAAGGAGAGTGGATCACTTGAGGGCAGGAGTTTGAGACCAGCCTGACCTAAATCTTGAATTATCTGACTTTGTGTTGCAAGGATCAAATAAGTGATTATTGAAATAATTGGGAGGAAAGCTACATTATATTATTATCTGATTCATTACGAGCTGGACTTTCCATATTTAGAAAACTGGTGATGTCGTAAAGAAAAAGAAAAGAATAAAAATCGAAGGAAAGGTATGAAAAATAGAAGCAGGCTTTTAACTGGTTATATTAGGTACCATACTGTGTTAACCATGTGAATAAGCCTATGCCTTTATCACTGAGAGAGACAGTTGGCAAGAGAGAAAGCCACCCAGCTGGAGGGGCACCGGGAGGACAGTGACTCTGCACCTGCATGGAGCAGGTCAGTCAGCACTGGAAGAGCCCAGGCGTGTGGTTCTCTGTCCAAATTTCAATTATGTCATCAGATGGCTATTTCTCAATTTCCTTCGGTGTTCTTTCCATCTGTTTACTCTCTCCTGCTCTCCAGCAGTTCTTCCATCACTGCTGTAAAATGCATTCTATTTGGCAAGGCTTATTTGTTCAGACTGAGTTAAGAGAGGGGATGACTTCCAATTTTTAAGCAATGCCCAGTTTTTCATAACACATTCAGGTAGATTTATTCTGATGTCCTTTAGCTGTGGCTTTGAGACCTCCTACTTTGAAATTTTTTTGTCATTATATCCAGGAGTCAGAGCAAACCTCTGGGCACGTGTTTTCCTCCTAGGTAAATTATGAAACCTCTCTTGATATATGGATTTCTAGAGTAGAGAAACTGAGGCTGAAACTATAAAAAAGGCTAGTGTTTTCTAAAGCCAGAGAAGCAGCTAATTTATATCTTATTAAAACACATACACCCCCCCCGCTCTCTGTCTCTCTCTCTCTCACACACACACACACACACACACACACACACACACTCTCCATTATGTGACTGCAGAGTTTTCAACCTTAGTCTTACTGACTTTGGCCAGATTATTCTCTGCTGTGGGACTGTCCTGTGCATCGCAGGGTCTTTAGCTGCACCCCTGGACTCTAACTACTAAATGCCAGTAGCATCCCCTGCAAGGTTGTGATGACCAAAAATATATCCAGACATTGTCACATGTCCCCTGGGGAGCAAAATTACCCCTCGTTGGGTGCCACAGGCATTCCAAATAGGGAAGACAGCACAGGTGAACGCAGACATGAGCACCTGCGGTACTAGTAGCAATAACTGACCCTCAACATCTGTGGATTAGGTGCAGAAGGAGAGACTAGAAGCCTCTGGGTTTAACCAAATATGTTTCTATATCTTATTTCTCTGACTCTGCAAAAAATTATGAAGGCGTAACTATATCTTCAATGATTACTATCTTTGGTTTTGTTGCTAGGAAGCTAAACATAAATTTGTAGTTAAAAGCACACAGGTTTTGGCCGGGTGCGGTGGCTCACGCCTGTAATCCCAGCACTTTGGGAGGCCGAGGTGGGCTGATGGAGTCGGGAGTTTGAGACCAGCCTGGCCAACATGGTAAAACCCTGTCTCCACAGAAAAAAAAAATTAGCCAGGCATGGTGGCATGTGTCTGTAGTTCCAGCTACTGCAGACGATGAGGCAGGAGAATTACTTGAACCCAGGAGGCAGAGGTTGCAGTGAGCCAAGAGCATGCCACTGCACCCCAGCCTGGGCAACAGATCAAGACTCTGTCTCAGGAAAAAAACAAAAAAAAAGGCATGCAGGTTGTGAGTAATAGGCTTACCTCTGACTTCATCATACACGTCTATTCTCACGTGTTTTCAACTATTCAGTCTGTACGTCTGCAAGCTACTTCCAGCCCTTTTCCGAAAGGAGCAAGAATCAATCCATACACACATCCATGCATACATAAATTAAATGGATTGATGACAGAGCTTCAGATACTCTCCAGTTTGTTTTGGTTGCCTGTGGTAGTTAAATGAGTGCTGCATTATTCTCAGCAGTACTGGCTTCGCACCGTCTGTTTCTAAAATCCCGCAGAATTTCTCCCTTGCTGCCTGGATGAGTCTTCATCTTGGTCGTGTCTGGGGGCTGTCTCAGATCTCCGAAAGAGTAAGGAAAAGGAAACTCAAAGTACATGTATAGAACGTTCTTATGGATCTCTCCTTACAGCGGTCAGCAGTGATGAGGATTTACAGTTCTGGAGACAGGCAACAACAGATGAAGCACAACGCTGCTGACCTCCCCACAGTAGGAACTTTTTATTGTAGAATTGGCCTGAAGGAGCAATAATTCTCTCAAAATAAGGGAGCAAAAGTCCTCTTAAAATCATATCTGAAGGAAGTACGAAAAGCAATGCTGTCTTTTAATAATGTGAAACTGTCTCTCTTTCTCCCTTTCCAACTGAAAATAATTAGATTTGATTTTGACGATGTATTTAAAATAAAATATTTGAAGTGGGCTACACAAACTTTATATGGTTTTCTTGCAAATGCTCTTTTCTTGCCTAAGTGTGAGGCTCTAGCCTAAAACCAGTCTGGCGTTGCCTCGGCTGGGCTCACATGAGCATGGAGTGGGTGCCAGGGAAGCCACTTGCCCGTTGGGTGTGTAGCATTTGGTTTATGTGAAGTGTTGGTTTACAGTGTGCTGGCAAATAGTAGGTGAAATCTTGACCTAACCACCCAACAGAGACCTGAATCAGATCAATTGTTTTCTGGCAGGGTATCTGTTTTCTGACATGGAAATAATACATAGTGTCAAAGTTGTCACTAATAAGAAAGGTGGGTGTGAGGTGTGTGTAGAGAGAGGGAGAGAGGGATGGAGGGAGGGGCAGAGAGAGAGACTGAGATGGACAGATTGAGTATATGAGAAAATATGATCTCTCAGCCATCTACAAAAGCAGAGACAACTAAAGGCAGCCCGGACGTACATGCCCAGCCCCTGGTGTCGTAGGTTGATTAAGCTGTACCTGTAGCTACATCAGACTTAACCATCAGAATCCCAGCCTGAAACACAAGTTCATGATTACGTAACACTGAGGCCGATTGCATATGCTGAGCACA